GATGCTTCCTAAGAGTAGAGGTGATGCCTTGTTTTTTTGATAGGTATACCAAAATAGAATGCAATATAATGTATATTTTGCTAGTACTACTATGGTAATCGGTGATGATTGTATTACATTATGGTACGTGGATGTAAGTCAAACTACATGTTCATTTAATGATTTTATTACATTATGGTTATTTCAGGTTACGATGCATCACATTTTGATAATTTTGTTAATATGTATGTGAAAATATGTTTTCTTACCAACATAGGGCTACTAGTATGAGTATTGGCTGTAAGTATACCAAATTAAGCCCATTTATATTATATATTAACACATTTGAGATTCCTTTAGTTGTAACTTTGAAAACTTAACACATTTACAATTAATTCGTGAGAGGGAGGAAATTTTGCACCAATAAAAATGTTATTGGTATCAATTTATATTATGTTGGTGTCATTTATAGGACACAACCACTAGTAGAAAAAATGCTATTTGTAACTGGCAAAATTGATTTTTTGTAACTGGCATTGTTGGTTGCGAATGCCACCGTTATAACTAGTGAATATTATTTGTAACCGACTAATGTTAGTTACAAATAACGTACTATTCGTAACTGGCTTAACATAACGCCAGTTACAAAAAAGTCTTTTTCCCAAGTTAGAAAGCATACTATTCGTAACTGGCATTAAGTTACGCCGGTTACAAATAGAGTATTATTTGTAACTGTCATAGCCTAACGCCAGTTACGATTAATGCTTTAAAAATAAATAAATAAATATAATGGAAGGAGTAGCAAATTATGATACTTCCACCACTTGTACACTACATTTTTTTTAATGTGAAGTCCATAAGTTAATAATAAACTTTTATAAAATACAATAATTATCAATCTAACCAATATAAGGCCAAATTTAAGCAACACATCTACATATACATCATCAACTCTACAATAATACTGAATTAATTTACTTGTAAATTACAAATATGTCTCTCACAATTCACAATAAGTAATACGAAATAACTAAAAAAAGCTAGTTAATTAAATGATACAATGGTCCATCTTCAAAAATTTGACAATTTTGTCTCTATCTACTTCACAAATTTGAAACTTACTATCTCTCTGTATGAATTTTCAATTACACGAAAAATCAGAGCTCCTCGGAAACTTACTAGGAGTCATGAACCGGCTCGATCAACCAGCCTCTTGAGCTCGATTTGACATTCACATCCTGAAAATAAATGAGAGTTTTCAAATTATAGTAATGAACTAATTGAAAGATCGACAGTGACTATAATATTAATTAGATAATTCTCGATGATTTGTTATCAGACAGCGTTTTGACACAAATTTTAAAATGTTAATTTTCTCATTCACAAAATGTAAACAGAATATTAATCACTAGCGTAATTAAAGACATTAATCAAAGCACACTGCACAAATCTTGAATAGTAATCACTATACATATAAATTCAATGAATGTCAGCAAATGTAGAACATTCAAACCGTTACCTGTAGAAAACGAAAGATTGAAAAGTGGCCTAAGAGAAAATCACGTACAATAACCAACTTTGTAGATCGAAGAATAATAGTACAACACGGGGAAAATTGGAAACCTTGAATAACATTTTCCACGATTGTGAGTTTGCTAATCACATCTGAAGGGGCAGTGGACTAGGAATTAATGTCGCCAATCGAGATCATGTTCCAATTGTAGAATGGATTAGCAACTAGGGGTGTACACCGGTCCAAAACCGGACCGGACCTGGACCGGACCTGTTTGGACCGGGGACCTGAATTGGGTAATTATGAGGACCGGGGACCGGACCTGAATTAACAGGTCCGGTTCCGGGCCAGACCTGAAAAATCAGGTCCGGTCCGGGTTTGGACCTGAATGGACCTGTTTTGTGTCTTTTTCGTTTTTTTTTTTATTTTTAATACAAAACCTGTTGGACCTGCATATGGACCTGCATATGGACCTGTTTTGTGATTTTTAGACCTGTTGCATAATTTAATAATTACATACAAACCAAAATTATCAATTACAAAACTACATAAAGTCTATAAAGTCCCGATTCTCAAACACCAAAAATACAAATGAGTCCACCGAAAATACAAATAAGTCCACGAAAACTCATAAAATTACATAAATTCTCTTAAGTCTCAACTCTCAACTCTCAAGTACTAGGAATACATAAATTCTCCAACGAGTTGTTTTCCCTTTGATCGCGTGATTCACACTAATGAGTCCACGAAAACAACTTCATCGTCTACATCGTTAGATTCACCACGTTGCACCTCTAAATAAAATACAATATAGAATATATTAATGATTGATAACAATGAAATAATAAATTTGGTGTAACAAAATTTCAAATACATAAAATTATTACTACCTTTCTCTATTTCCTCTAACTCTTTCAAATTTTCTTCCACATCAACAATTGGCACTTCCTTAGCTCTAAGCCAATCTTGTGTGCAAAGTAACGCTTGAACCATCTTCAATACAAAAATATTACACAAATATGTATAAACAAAGTCATATTAAGATATAAACAAACTTGATTTTATAAAATAAAAAGATAACGATGCATTACCTTAGGAGTTAAAGAACTCCGAAATGGATCTAGAGTACGACCTCCCGTACTAAAAGCAGATTCCGATGCAACGGTCGACAATGGGATGGCTAGTATGTCACGTGCCATGCGATTAAGAATCACATAACGCTGACCATTCTTACCCCACCATGTCAATGCATCTTGTTCTTCCTCCTCCGGCCCTAATTGATCATTTAAGTACCTATCCAACTCACTTATCGCATACCCACTTGTCCCCTTCAATCGTTTTGCTCTTTCTTTTAGTTTCCTCACATAATCGGAACCCACTCCTTTACTATTATCAATATCCATTGACATATTATCTCCACAATCTGGAATATTAGAAGTAGCATACATTTTTCTATATTCCTCAAATAAAGAGTAAGCGAACTCCTTCACATCATTAGCAAGTTTTGTACCCTTTTCCGGTCCATGCATATCCGTTAGTGTCAATTCAACAATGACCATCTTAGAGTGAGGGTCGAGAAGAAGAGCAACATAAATGAACTTATTCATCTTATCCACATCCCCCCAATACTTATCAAACTTTTTTTTCATTGCAATGGCCATGGCTTGAAAATTCAAGTCCTCACTTTGTTCCCAATTATTCAACATATCATACATAGAAGCAATTTCTCCTAAACCTTTATTAGCTGTCACATAATGGGAACCAGAAATTCGTTTAGTTAACAGATAAAACCCCCCTAGAAACAAAACCAACCTCTCCACTTTTTCCCAATCTTCGGGTTCGGGAGGCCTTTCATTGTCATTCAAATCCTCTCCATCAGGAAGAGATAACCCACTAAAAACACGTCGAAACTTCAAAGCCGTTTCCAACATTATGTATGTGGAGTTCCAACGAGTGGGGACATCAAAGGATAAAGAAGATTTTGAATCTATGTTTGCTTTTTGCACAAGATCTTTGAATCTAAGTATTCTTGCAGGGGAATTCTTAACATATTTCACAGCATTTCTAACTCTATCAATGCACACACCATGTTCTCTAATACCATCCCACACAATTAAATTAATGATATGAGCAATGCATCTAACATGGAGATTTTTTCCATCATTTATACATCCTGTTCTTCTAACCATTCTACTCAAGTGTGCACAAGCAACATCATTTGAAGAAGCATTATCAACAGTGACAGTAAAAAGTTTATCATCAATACCCCAATACTCTAAACATGCCTCAACTGCTTTTCCAATAGCCTCTCCTTTATGACTAGAAATTGGACAAAAATTTATGATCTTTTTATTCAATTTCCAGTCATTATCAATGAAATGAGCTGTAAGACACATATAATTAATTCTTTGTATTGAAGTCCAAGTATCAGTGGTCACAGAAATTCTTTGACATGTCTTAAACATTTCTCTCAATTTCTCTTTTTCACTATAATACAACTTTAAACAATCACGAGCAATGGTAACACGAGATGGAATGTGAAATTGTGGACATGCAACTTGCACAAAGTGCCTAAAACCGGATTTTTCCACATGCTTAAATGGTAACTCATCAACAATAATCATGTGAATCAATGCCTCTCTAACATCATTCAAGTTAATAATCCTACTCCCACACTTTAATTCACTACTCTCATGTTCTTGATCAAAATACAATTTAGTTTGCTTTTCTTTGCCCTTTTCTTTTTCTATATTAATAGGATTACCGAGACATGATTCTGCATGGTTTTTAACATTTTTTGAACCATTAAGATTACCATCAGCAGCAAAAGTTTTAGGACAGAACTTACATTCAGCTCGTAGTTTTCCATTCTCGACGTACTCTAAGTAATATTTCCAATACTCAGCTTTCCTCTTACTTTTTCTGTTCCATATATATTCCCGCCCCGCTTTTAGCTTCTTATCAGGAGGCAAAGTAGATTGCAATTCTTCCATATCCTTTTCAGAAAGTGGCTGTGACGTTTGTTCAGAAAAAGAAGCAGACCGTTTGGATTGAGAGCTCTCCATCTACAATATAATTATATACAATATAAGTAATTTTAAAGTAACAATTATATACACATACCATTTTATAAAAAAAATTTAAGAGCAACTTACATTGCAAGAATAAGAATCCGTGGTTCCTTGACTTCCTTCACTCCCTGCAAGAATAAAAACAAAAATAAGAACCCCTGAACTACACACAGGTTAGCCAACTTATTTAATCTTAATAATCTGAGTCCATACTTTTAGCAGCCTAGCAGGAATAAACACAAATTTTAAAGTATAAGTTAGCTTAAAAAGTGTCCATATATACACATTAGAAATATCAATACACATTAGAAATACTTTCAACTTTCTGAAATTTATGTTAAGAAAAAAATGAGAGAGGCATTGCCCACACAACACAACACAACACAACACAACCAACTTTCTGAAATTTATGTCAATACCCAGATCCACCACTGCCCACACAACACAACACAAGTACACAACCAGCTTCATTGGCAGCCCCACCCCTAGCCGCCTTCCGTGACACTCCACCCAAATTATGGATATTCAGGTAAGATGGTGTTTTACTGGTTGTATTGGACAAAAGTGTTTTACTGATAAGATGAGCTATGTACTTTTGGAGACTTTGGAGTAACGAACTAACTTGAAATGGCTTTCTATAGGACTTGTTTATGAAGTCAACGTTAGATTCTATTTTCAAAGTTGCATTTGGAGTTGATCTAGACAGTATGTGTGGCTCAAATGAAGAAGGGAAGAAATTTGGCCAGGCTTTTGATGATGCTAGTGCTTCAACCATGTTACGATATGTAGACATCTTTTGGCCTATCAAGAAATTTCTCAACATTGGCGCAGAGGCTAAACTTAAGAGAAGTGTCAAAACTGTTGATGATTTTGTTTACAAATTAATCAGTAACAAAGTGGAACTAATGAAAAGTTCACAAAGCAATGTCTCAGTAAGTGAATCATAACTTAGAAGTCTGTAATCATATCGGTTTACTGAGGAGATTAATGCATTCTTTCTGTGTGAATTTGTAGGAAATGCAGATGAAAAAGGATGATATCTTGTCAAGGTTCCTGGAGCAGAGCGACACTGATTTGAAGTATCTGAGAGATATAATCTTGAGCTTTGTAATTGCGGGTAAAGACACAACAGCAGTTACACTTTCATGGTTTGTTTACATGCTTTGTAAACACCAGAATATACAGGAAAAGGTTGCTGAAGAAGTAAGGAAAATTACGAAAATGGAAGGAGTTGGAAAATTTTCAGAACTTGCTGCTAGTTTGACAGAAGAATCACTTGAAAGAATGCAGTATTTACATGCTGCATTGACAGAAACTCTCAGACTCTATCTAGCAGTTCCAGTCAGAAAATTTCATTGCTCTCATAATCTCATTGTTTGTTCTCTTCCTTTTTATTTTTCTCTTTTGTGTTACACGTTACTTGCTGAAGTTTATGTCAATTTCAGAGGCACATTCCAACTTATCATATATCAACCAAGCTAATTTCTACCTTTCTCTCAATTTCTAATTTTGAAATCAAAATAATTGCATTTTCTCTAATTTCAAAGTCCAACCAAAAGGAGTCTAAGAAATTCAGGTACTTGACAAAAATAAACAATGCAATCATGATGAAAAACTAATTGTCCTCTGCTACAATCCCATTACCAAAACATAAAAATAAATAAATTCGAAGATAAACCATACTTGTTATCAATTCTAAACATTAAACCCTAAAACCCTAAACTTTAAACTAAAAAAAACCAAAAAAAAAAAACATAAATTCGAAAGAAATTCGAAAATAAACCAAAAAAGAAAAAACATAAATTCGAAAACATTGAAGTAAAAAAAAGAAATTCAACATGCAAACATCAAATAATCATTATAAGCAATTGAAACATGAATAAACATATAAATTCTAACACTTAATTCATTATTTCGAATACAAAATACCCAAACATAATTAGATAATTTAGATTTACATTAAAAAAAAAATAACTTACCGGAGAAATGGAAAATCGCGCAGTAGCTGTCTCATGCGGTGGTCGGTGGGCGCCTGGGCTTCGCCTGAGAGAGTGAGGAAGGCAGGAGGTGTCGGCGGTGGGCGTTGCCGCGTTGGGCTGACTCGGCTGAGACTTGCGTGACTGCGTGTCTGCGTGAGGGAGAGGGGGAGAGTGGAGACAGCCTGTTTGTTAGGGTTAGAGTGAAATGAAAGAGAATTCAAGCGTCACTCAAGGCCTCAAGCTGTCAAGCAGGAAGCAGCAGCATTATTTTAATTTTTTTTTTTTTTTTTTTTTTTTTTTTTTTAAAAAAAAAAACAATTTTTCCGGGTTTCAGGTCCGGACCTGAAAACCCCGGGTTTAGACCGGGTCCGGACCGGAACCGGGAACCTTGATTTTTAATCAACAGGTCCGGGTCAGGTCCGGTCCGGATCAGGTCGGTTCAGGTCCGGTTTCAGGTCCGGTCCAGTTTTTGTACACCCCTATTAGCAACTGCCAGAATTTTCTCAGCAACACTAACAAGAAAATATATACCATATTATAGGCAAGGAAAAATATAGCAATTCAAAAATTTCTAATGCTACTAAGTGAGCAATAGTTCTGAACACAAAGATGCCTTCGAAAAAGTACTACCATTAAAGAGAAAAGGCCAACATAGCAAGAATTGAAGATGATGTCTATGTTTACAAAGATTAGCAATACAAAAAGATGTAGTCAGAAGCACATAAGAAGACACGCTGTTTGATATAGATCACTACTCCAAAATGCTACCCAGCATATACAAAAAGAAGATCAAGTAAGCTGCATTTTCTATTGCCTTCCTGTAGAAGGAAAAAATTTACTCTCTTATGATATCAGTAACTACAGTTCCATGAAAGTCATCATTTTCTTTCTATTTGAAAATTACCAGTATTCAGTAGCACAATCTCACAACTCCAACTAGCTTAGAGCACACAATTGCTTTTCTTAATTTAGAGCTAGGAAAGTTAGGCCTAGAGGTTAATTATTTAATGTTTTTGTATCCAATCCTGTAAGAAATCTTGAGATTTTTCCTAGTATCTCCTAAACTCTTTTATCCCCTACCTCACCCCCCTCCAAATACCTCTGTCTTATGGGTTGTGGGACAAATTCAAACCATTTGATTGGGCAGTGGGCACTAAACTGTAATTTCAGAAGCTGGTTTTCATTGGTTCAATCACGCATCTTTTATCTAGCTTTGGACCAAGACAATGTAGTAAATAAAAAGTTGTTGAAGGCACACCAAATCCAAATTATGATTATGCTTTACATACATCATTTCCTTCAAGCTCCACTTAATGTTCACAAGAATCACAGTCATGCATGTCAGAACTAAAAACAAGAATAGTTTTCTCAATACTTTCCTCCGTTATTTTTATTTTTTTAAAAGAGAAAAAATTTCCATAAAGAACTTTTTTTTGTTAAGTGAAACAATTCCAAAAATAGAAATCCTCTATACTTTTTTTTTTTTAATATTTCTCTCTTCACTCACACTTTTAATTTTTTATTTTTTATTCTATTTCTCTCACATTACTTACTTTTAAATAAATTATTCACTCACTATCTCCTTTTTACTAGTATAATTTTTAATTCCCCAATTAACAAACCCCACTTACATATTATTCTAAGTTTTATAAAGTCAAATAAAATGCTTAAAACTATGTGCAAGTCAATTGTTACACTTACAAAAATAGGAGTATGATTAAGAGGAAAAGAGTATACTTTTCAAAAGTTTTATGGGCCATACTCACTATCTGCTTCACATTAGCTTCCAAAACAGATGATAAGCCAACATTGCCAAAGGTAGTTGAAGAAATAGAAATGGATTTCTTTTCTCTTGACGCAAACCAAACATGTGAATAAACACACATTTGTCTAATGATGTAACCCAATTTCTTATGGAGCGAAACAGGAACCCAACGAAGCCACTCATTGATTTCTCCACTGGGCCTTGTAACACGCTGCATAATCAAGAAAATAGAATTAATTTCACCATTCTGCACAAACATGATAAATTTCCACTCATTTCACAAATGTAACTTGAATTATAATTAACAATGCAATCATTAAGTTAAATTCAACAAAAAAAAAATCAAAACTTACTTATGGATTTGAACTTTTTTCCTGCTTGATAATGTATCATCAAAACTGAAAACCTACCATTAGAAAATGAGACTGAAATAATATAAAATAAAATGCAAGAAACAAAAGAAGAGGAGGAGAGAGAAACCTTTTTAGTGAAAGTGATGACATACAAGAGCTTCACAAAACATAACATCAGGGCCAATCTTTGTCATTAGCAAGGGATTAGCATTGTCAAAACAAGACAATTTTAGCAATTACAATCAAATTTGACATAATCAAAGAAAAAATTACAAGATAACTCACAAATTCTATAAACTAAGAGCTTATATTAAGTCATATATTTAGAATACTTGAAAGACTATGACATCTTAATACTAAGAGCTTATATTAAGTCATAGAATTTCTCCACTTTCAAAGAATGTGCTTCACCTATTTCATATTTAAGGGCTCGTCGTCAGCATGTAGGATAGGCCTCAAATTTGTTTTATTTTTTCTTAGAATCGTCGATACCATCATCTTAATCATAGGTTCCATTGTTCAAGTTTGAATTGCAGAATTTACTCTGTTTATTTTAATTTATCACAGTCTGTTGCAAACAACTAAATTTTGCATGTTTGGACTGAATTTGATGCGAGATAGTATTTTACTTAACAAGTTGTGAAAACAAAAAAAAAGAGGCAGGTTGAAATGAGGCATTCAACTTTGTTGTTCTGATTCAATCTAAGTTTAGTTCGGCTTAATACTCTCCCCATGGAAAAATCAGGTTTTAAGAGTGTGGCTTTACGTTGAAAGAATCAGCACATTGCCCATTATTATAATTAAGATTGATTATCAATTTATCAAGTCTTTAATAGCAAAATAATTTTCCATAAAATTTCAAACATAAAAGGCATAATCGAAAATTAAACTCAAACGGATCAAAATTTACTTCCGTATTATAGGATAATGAATCGCAACACAACCATTAACAAACTCAACTAGAAATTTATCCGATTCAACTGTCTTATAGTTAAAATACATACATATTCAAGCAAATTGGATAGTATTAATTATTAACAAACTAGAGCAGATTCGAAACCCCAATACTTCCATTAAATTAATCTAACAAACAAAAGCACAAACCCTAGAATTCTTTTTAGTCCTTCTAATAGAATAGTTGCTTATAATTAATTACATATTCATAAATTAATTGGAGATCGAGAGCATACCTTAACGATATTCTTGATCTGATGAACGATTTTTGGAGAAGGTTTAGAGGAGTTTAGAGCAGTTTAAGAGGAAACAGAAAAGTTGTGGGTTTATATATGAAAAATTGGGGAAATGTCGAAATGACTAAATGAGGAAGCGCATAATATTTCTCAAAAGAAAAAAAAAAACATATTGAGTGAAATGTGAGTCAGATGTGGTATTGTGCTAGCATAAGTAACTAACCTTAATTGTCTTAAACAAAAAAAAAAGTAACTAACCTTAATAAAGCCCGTTACAATTAATAAGGTCAATAAAGTTTGACTTATTATTTGTAACTAACCTTTTTTATGCCCATTACTAATAGTTGGCTAGCCTATCATTGACCTACTATTTGTAACTGACATTGGTTATGCCAGTTACTACTACTAATTTATTTGTAACCCGCACTATATATGCCAGTTACTAATACGCTAATTGTAACTAACGTAATTTATGTCAGTTACTAGTAGAGCGTTACAAATAGCATTTTTTCTACTAGTGAACAAAATTTCCCTAAATATTGGTATCAATTTATATGATGATGTTAGGAATTATGTGTACAAATATTAACATATCAGTATGTTTGATAAAGGTATCATTGTGTTATGACTTATACCAATGAATCTAAAGGTGTATTAATTTGATACCAATAACAGGAATATTGGTATCTTACTTTCATACCATTACGGTTAAAATTGGTACCAGTTGTGAAATTGATGGTGTTAGATGGCTTGGAATCTTGAAATTCATACCGACATTGTGGTATGTTGGTATTCAAAATGTCATCTGATCATACTATTTATGTAAACATAGTATTGTGGATTTGTATGAGAAAGCAATGTATTTTAATAAACGTCTTGTGACACCATTTCTGCTAAAACAAAACATAACAACCATTACAAATGCAAAATTTTGCACCAACAAACATTTGGAGTAATTACTTGTGTAATTCTTTAAATACCATGATAAACTGATTTTTTTTTTAAAAAAAATAACTTGTAATTCAGCTACCAATATATTTACGAGTGATACCATCTGCTTGTATCATGGTATTACGACGGTACCATCAAAATGCATGATTATATTTCTTCACTCCCATCCATATTAGTGGTGGTGCTGGAATCTGAGTTCGCATCCGTCACAATGCCCACTGTTCCAATACCAATTACAACCAGGATGTTGTTGATGTTTGTATTAACTTATACCTAATGCAATCAGGATGATATTCAACGTTGGATTATATTATACCAAATGGAAGCAGGAAGTTTGCATGCAAGTACAATTATAAAGGATGGTATGCATATTAAAATTACTAGATAAATATAGCTAATTAATTTGAAAGTATATCAGTTGCAATACTAGATAAGGGTATGCATGTTACAAGTATTATATAAGGGTATGTTGTAGAAAGTATTATTACACTATACCATCCAACCATGAATGGTAC